TTTCAGACACTTAGATGAGTATGGGCATTGCAGGCTAACCAAAGAAGCCAAACGACCCCCATTCCAAAGGGGTGGACCCCTTCGTCCGTTCTAATTTGCATTTTTTGAAAACAAAAACAAGGGTTTGTTGGGCTACTGTATAAAACCTCAAATTCAACTCTATTCCTGACATTTTGAATTGAAAAAGCTTCCTGGATGGGAAGCGAAACATCTTCAAACTTCAAACAAATCCAGTGGGTTGTTTTTAATTTCCTTTTTTTGAATAACTATGACCTGGATGACTGAGAACCTTCACAAGAATATAATTATATATTTCCCTTCTTCATTCCTGGTCTGGTTAAATGACCTAATGTACCACCTTCTTTTCTTTTGATTTTTTAAAGCTAAAAGACAGAAATTGAAACTCTCGAGTACGAAGTCTCAACCATCCGCAGACAGTGAGTGCGGACTCTGCACAGCTCCTTGTATGCCTAAAGTTTGTAACCTGACTCCGCCAGATGGATTTGCTACACATATCCATCTGGAAACCTTCTGTTGAAGTAATTTTGGGAAGGGGCGAAAATACTGGTTAGCTGATTGGCCTATGTTGGTGATAGACGGGCCAAATAAACCAATCAGATCAACGAAGCATATGACGTACTAACAGAGCGACGACAAAAACACAACCACAAGCCAGGCACAAGCCAATTGATAGATCAAACTCTTGCCGAAACCAGACGGGAGAAGAGAAAAAACATCTTTTCCTCTGAGAAAAGCCTCCAAAGCAGTGTTTTGCTCTTCTTTCAGTGAAGAAATACTCTGTAATTCCGATAAAACTTGCTCGATAGCCCCGCTAACGCTAGTTTCATCGGCTGAAGCCGCCGTGTTGTTTAGACTGAACTGTCGCGCTTCTCGTTGCGTCACACCTCAACCCGCCTCAAAGCCAACGCCGATTGGACGTTCGTTTGGTGAACTGCTCCAAATTTTCTTTAACGGAGAGTCTCCAGACTGATCTGCGAGTGAAACCTTGAAAGCTCGCGAGATCAGGATGGTCTCACAAGGTTATAAAGTTCGCCCAAGTAAGTGGGGGCCTTTAGCTCTAGTTGAGTGAGTTGTAAGCTACGCTGCAAATATCTAAGCGTCATAGGTATGCAAACCCAAGAAATTTTTAAAAGGTTGTGTTTTTTAACAATGGGTTAAAGTAGGGGTTGGGGCCAAAGAAGAAGATATTACAAAAGGATATTGATTTTTTATTTTTTTTTTGTAAGGCATATTTACTTTTTAGCCCTGTTATTACTATCAGGTGGCTGTCTCTTCAGGATTGAGTTATGGGGTTCATAGGAAATCGGTATTGTAAAAATAGTGCAAACGTATAATAAATACTCATACAAGCATCTTTTTTTTTTTATGAAGAAAACATTGGAGGTATTTCCTGAAAAGTAGCCAATCACAGGCAGATGACTTATTTGGGTTGGTTTCACCTTCAAAGTGACAAAGGTTGACATGAAAGCATCTAAAGGCAAAATACAAAAAAGTGAGAGAGTGCAGAGAAGGAGGATGCACTCATGCTTTTGACATGTTGGGGGCCTTGTGGTATTAAATCTGCACACATTAAACGTTCAAAATGTGCATGGAGACTAGTTTAAATGCATGTATTTTAAATAAAACTGCTCGAACGAGACACTGTTGACAGAATTCTGACTTCATATATTTAGAGGATGCAGACTGACTGTCTGGTCTTGCAACATAACACCTGGACCAAACCTACAAATTGGACATGAAGAGGCAACGATGAGGACAAGGAATCAGAGGTAGCAACCACATCTCTCTGCAGCACAAATGTCCTTCTGTTTCACAAAGCATTTACAACTCTCAGAGGCTACACCACATTTCAGTAGATATGCAGAACTACGTGCTAGGATTACATAACTGAGGAAGAGTGTTATAAATTGCATTTTTCAATTGCTAGAACAAATCTAGCAAAGAATAATCTGCTGCAGTGCAGATGCTTAAATTTTTTAAGCAATCTTTTGCATGAGAAAAGCCTCCGAGTCTAAAAGAGAATGAGTGAAGGGTGCGATCCTGAATTAGCAACAATAACTTCTAAGACACACATACATGCATAAAGCTGGTGACAGATCAGAGAAGACAGCGGCATACTGATGGATGGGTTGTTTTTGGCTGTGCAGGCATTTGCTACAAATAAACACTGTGTGTTTGTCTTGAACTGCTACATTATTGATTGCAAATGATCAATTATGGATTAGAGCCTCCGCATAGGCATCAAAGTCCAGCATCCAGCACCAATAAAGAGAAATTGTGCGGGCGGGTCCAACCACTGCACACAATCATGCTCACGCTCATCATGAATCACAACTAATCAATTATTGAAATCGATGTTGATCAATATAAAAGTCTGCAAACCAATGTACCTGCCGAGGCTTTGTTAATAAACACGCAAACCATGATTGCTTTGCAAACTATTTTTTGATCAACAGGACATAAACAAGAGGGATGACACAACAATCACTAGAAAAATTAGATAAGAAAAACAACACTGAAATATTTTAGCACGTATAATACCACTGCTGTTTTAACTGAACAAATTCATTCATGAATGGAAAACAGAAGGAAAAATTGTGATGCTAGAGTTGTTTAAATGTATATTTAAAGTCTGACAGTTTCACCTTCAAAGATTATCATAAATCAAAATCAAAACTTATCTACAAGCACTGGCAGCTTTCTTTTACAGGATAGCTTCTTGTATTTCCTAAACAGGATTCTTAACTAATCAAAGTTGTGATCAAATGCATAATGCCACATGTTAGGATCAAATATCGTCATTAGGAGACATCAAACTCAGAATGCAACACAGAAAGAACTTAATAAATACACATCCTTTAAAATGCATACCATAACGTCGCCCAGGAGGAAATAAAAGATATAAAAAAATTAATGATTCACTTTCACTTGTGAAATGTTTATTAAATATTATCTTATCTAAGTTGTGATGCTCTGCCATACTATCTCCCTGCCTGGGACTACAGGTTTGACATATTGTTAACGCTGGACACTTATAAAATGGGCTGAAGTAGTCATATTGCAGGGTTGTTTTTTCTTTTCTTAATTAAAAAGACAAAAATATTCCAAACAGACCAAATGCCCCATATTATGGGGATTCCACATAATCTTATACACCAGAGATAGAAATTTGTGATTAAATTCCCAATATTTTTATTTTTTATTTTTATATATATATATTTTAATAATCCCAGAGGGAAATTACTTCTCTGCATTTAACCCATCCCCTTGGGGAGCAGTGGGCTGCCATTGTGCGACGCCCGGGGAGCAGTGTGGAATTAAGGGTCCCAGAACCTCAGGATTCCAAGCTCTTTGCCCTGTTGTTCTAGCCTCGTGAGACCATCCTGATCTCCCGAGCTTTCAAGGTTTCACTCGCAGATCAGTCTGGCTACTTTCTGTTAAAGAAAATTTGGAGCCGTTCACCAAACGAACGTCCAATCAGCGTTGGCTTTGAGGCGGGTTGAGGTGTGACGCAACGAGAAGCGCGACAGTTCAGTCTAAAGAACATGGCGGCTTCAGCCGATGAAACTAGCGTTAGCGTAGCTATCGAGCAAGTTTTATCGGAATTACAGAGTATTTCTTCACTGAAAGAAGAGCAAAACACTGCTCTGGAGGCTCTTCTCAGAGGAAAAGATGTTTTTGCTCTTCTCCCGACTGGTTTCGGCAAGAGTTTGATCTATCAATTGGCTTGTGCCTGGCTTGTGGTTGGGTTTTTGTCGTCGCTCTGTTAGTACGTCATATGCTTCGTTGATCTGATTGGTGTATTTGGCCCGTCTATCACCAACATAGGCCAATCTGCTAACCAGTATTTTCGCCCCTTCCCAAAATTACTTCAACGGAAGGTTTCCAGACGGATATGAGGAGCAAATCCATCTGACGGAGTCAGGTTACTGTTGTTCTGCTTTGACTCTGAAGTAAAATTTTCTAAAGTTTAAGTCAGAAAGTGTTTTCAGGTTCAATTTATAACCTAGATAGAAAGAGTTCCTCAAGCTGCTTTGAATTTAATATTCTTACTGTGAATATAAAATAGCATAGAGGCTGGAGGAACTAAAATCATTCACTGGTCACTTTACCGTCTGAGCCACCTCAAGCTGACTCCTCACGATGTGGAAGAGAAGTGGCTCTACTCCAAGTTCCTCCTAAATGATCAAGTTCCTTACCCTTTATCTAAGGGAGTGCCCAGCGACAGCTCATTTTTGCTGCTTGTTTCCAGGATCTCGCTCTATCAGTCATGATCCAGATTTCAAGACCATAGGTAAGGTTAGGAACATAGACCGAAGACTAAATTGTTTGCCTCTGCTTGTTTATTGCTTATTTATCTTTTAATTCTTCGCTATTATGTTATTCTTATACATTTTTCTAAGGTCCATATTTGTGTGACCATTTTTTCTATATTTTTGCTGCAGTAAACACCAGAATTTCCCTATTGTTGGACAATAAAGGGATTTTCTATTCTATTCCATTCTATTGTACATGGTATTCTTTTCCAATTGTGTTTTATTGATCACATTTCCTTCAATTCTGGGGGAGGGTTATTCTCTGGAGTGAGGAGCACATGCATTTCTATTGGTCTGCATGAATGTTAGCAACATGTTTATTGGTCCATGTGTGCATTAAGACAAAGCGTTTGTATTAGGCTTGAAGTGAAGAGAATATAATCTGTAAAAATCTATTTAAAAAATAATGCAGTTTGTAAAAAAAAAAATAAAACCAATTTTAAAAATGCTGGAAAACATGTGAATAAAGAATTTGAAAAACAAATAATTTGAAAAAAAAAAAAAAATGAATCAACAAAGATACTCTCAAACCTTTTTTTCGATGAACAGGTTTTCCAAAGATTAATTTCTTGATTCCATTTTTTTTGCTTCAAATTTCTATGTACAAAATATTTTCTCACAGGGAGTCAGAGGGAGTTTAAAAACAACTGGTAACTAACTCACCGGAGTCCATAAAGCACGGTCCCATCAGGGTGGAGACGGATCATCCTGTTCTTAACCGTGACGCCATGTACGAAAGACTTCTTGTCATTAAGGAAGTAGGTGTCAGGGACCCACAGCTGGTCGGCCACCCGGTTGTCCAGCGTCAGGTTGTAGGCGATCTCTGAGTACGAGAGTCGCTTGTCCCGCCATGCTTGTTGAAAGTACATGGTCAAGGTGTAGTCCTGGTAAATCACAAGGGGAAAGGAAGGAGTTTAGTGAACTTAGACAAGAGCTTTAAACTTTATTATCATAAATACAGGTGGTTGTAAATGAATTATAACCATCTGTATTTATAGATTTAAATAAAGGTGGTTATAATACATTTATAATTACCTGTACTCAAATACAGGTAATTATAAAAGAATTATGACATTCTTTATCATAGATTTATTTTAGGTGTTGAACAATATAGCATTTTGCAGCCCTATCTAAATCAACTGGTTGTCAGTTTAAGTCTCTCTGAAAACTGCGGGGTGCTATGGTTCATGGTATGGTCAGCCCATCTTCAACACATTAAATTGATTAATTAGTAATTTTTCTTCAGATTTGCTCTAATCCATATATGCTCAATACATCAGGCTAATGGTGAGATGAGTGGAAGTGAACACTGCAAGAAAACGTTCTGTCATAATTAATCACCAAATAACCTCACTTCTCAAAGAGTCCCACCCCAAAAAAATGGCTTTTATTCAGGAAAGTTTAGATCCAAGAAAATAAAATTGCTTTGGTTATTATTATTTTGCTCTGCGTTGGTCATGTAACGCCTCCTCCACTGCACGGTGCCTGCCCCATCTTTGTGATTAGTCACCACTGTGAGGTAGCGACAGCCTATGGCAATAGCAGGCCGCTCTGACAGCAAATCCCATAGTGCTTTGCGAGGAGAGCTCTCAGCGCAAAGCATTCTGGGATATATCTGCCTCTTCTAAGGCCTTTGTTTTCTTCTCATACGCTTCATAGACACTTTTTTGCTTACGACCCTCAGCCATTTTCAAAGAACCGCAGTGAGAAAGGTGAGCTTCATTGACTGTCGGAAATCGTAGCTCACAACACATATCCGGCTGAGAGTGCGCATGTGCAGAAAAAGATAGCTATCAGGACGAGCACATATGACATCTTTGCGTAAAAATATCACCAGAATGACTGACGATTAGGCGGACAACTTATTTAGAGAATCCACCTGGAAATAAAAGATTGTCTGCTATACCTTTAAGAAGACAACACCCTCACCAATTGAAACATCTAACATCAATTGGGTCCCTTTCCTGTCTGGTTTTGCATAAGCATCAACAATCAGATTTAACCTTAGTAATCATTAAAAAAAACAGTATTCATGCAGTCCAGCTTGGATTCACACATTATCTGAGGTGTGCTATTAAAGTTTACTCCCTCCTCTCCTGACTCTTTAAAACACACACCCACACAGCCACTGTAAAACACAGCACTGCAGTCCGGTATGTTTGGCTACGCTGTGTTGCAGTGCAATCACTGAGTGGGAAAACACGCAAAGAAATACAGTCTGTGAACCAGGGCCCTCGAGCTTTATCTCCATCATCAATACTCATCACTGTGTTTCTATGCTACCTGCCAATTTATGCCTGTCCAAAACAAGCTGGCACGACTAACAGACAATTGCCACTTTCACTCTTAAACTCAAATCTTTGGTTGGATGTAACTTGCACGGCCGAGGCTCTACATAAAAAGGCCATCTAAAAATACACATTTGCTGCCATGTCAATTTTTTGTGCAGGGATAAAAGTCAGCAAAGAATAGATGTATCCTTTTATTTGTTTCTTTTCGGAGGAATCAACACTGACCCATCCTCTCACAGTCGCTCCCTCTGTATCTCATTATTGATTCTGTGATTGGATATCTCTATCACCTTTAGGATCGTTATCTGTTGGCCACGATCCTGAAGCATTGTCCACTGAGGTAGCTTTCACTGAGGTGCAAATTTGCCTTTAAGTATCAATTATTCAGCATAAAATATTAACTGAGTCAACAGTATGTTGTTTTAATAGTGGCACTGCACATCAATGCCTGGTAAAACATGGTATAAAAAGCCTGGAAAGCCATTCATACGTTTTAAGCAGCCTTGAGACAAAACTTTCCACCATATTTTCTGAAATAACGGCTTGAAATGTGGCACATCTAGAGATTGGTTGTCCAAAGTCTTTCCAAACCTGGTCTTGACTCAGTCTGAGTGATTCTCCTAATGGAAGCTCTCGCCCACTCTTAAGAATCCTCAGCCTCAAACAGGTTTTCTTGCCGGGCTGCCCTGCATTTTGCCCCATTCAGGATCTCATCAACTATGACCAGTTTTCCTTTCCCTGTCATGGAAAAGCGTGACAAGAGAAATGATTTTGCCACAGATGTGTACTCCATGGGATTTATGTGTATAGGGTAGCAGCAAGTATTAATTCTCAATGTCCCCTATATGGCTTTTGGCAAACTGCAAGTGGTATGTCTTCTAGCTCTGCTTTATCAATCATCTCCTTCTTGCCCCTCTTCCATACAGTCTGCATTTATGGAGTGCATGACTTATGGGTGTGAATCTCTGCAATTCCCCCTCAGTTATTGTGGGCTTCTAATGCTTCTCTGATAAATGCTCTCTATGGTCATTCATCTATATGTAGGTTTTAACAGTGCTCACTGAGAAGCTATGATTTTATGATGCATTATGGCATCCTGCTCATGTGGGATTTATCATTTTTGTGTTCTGAGCTTTGTTTGTCCTTAATTTGTACATAACTATAGCCTTTTTGTATGTATTTTTCAATGCATAATGTGACCAGAATTACGTCATTGCGCATGCGTATAATTGGTCAACAAGCCGAAGCAATGGAGGTAAGGAAGTGGGTAAGTCCCAGAGTAGTATCAGAAAAAGAAAGTCCAAAATCAACTGAAAAACAGCACAATATGATGTTTTAATCCAAGAGGAATAAAAACTGAGTTGTGCTAAGTAAACAGAAGGACCGATGGTGTGCACTAAAGCTCAGGAGATATTATGATCTTACTGTGAATTTGATAAGTACAGGAGTACATGTTCTTGCTAATAGCACCACTGGTGTTAGCAATGCTTTTAGGCCCTATCCTCCAAGCTGTCAGTTTTTCATGAGGCATTTCAGCACTGACGGCTCGGTCGGGACTCATTTAGTAGCTGCATCAAAATAGCCTGGCCAGCCAGACTAATCAACATTGTGTATAGAGCATATTAGTCTGGAAAGCAGCGGGTACAGTAGAGCTCAATTACATAGGTGGGACTGACAGAGTGAGTGAAAAGTGTTTAGAACCAATCAGATAATTCAATTTAATTTAATCCTGTTTATTTATATAATGTTGATTCACAACACATGCAATTTCAAGGCACTTTACATAGAGAATAAAGTCAGATTGAATATAATTTTCTATCAAGGAAAACAGCTGATATTCAAATCCAGGATCGAGTCATAGTCAAACAGGACCAGACCAGATGAAGCTTCCATGACAAGAAAAACCAGAGAGAACATCAAGTTATGGGTGGAACTAACAAATACCACAAAATGGAAAAAAAGAGATGAAAGAGAATGTTGACCCTATGCCCTCCAGCACCACAAATGTATAGCAGCATAAATAAAGAAAAATAGCTCAAGATAACCCAACTGTTTTGGATGAGTTATGAGAAAGGTAGACCTACGGTTAAATCTCTGTCTGGACTGAATTCTCCCCCACTGTATCCAGCTGTTGACTCTACCTCCTCCTACTTCTGTACTCACCCAGCGACTAAGCAAACATCACAGTCTGCCGTCTCAGCTGCAACACTGGGTAGTAAAGAACAAGGAATACAGAGAGAAAAACCACCACTACAGATTCTCTAAGCAAAACTTTTTTTCTGCTGCCCTGTAATTGCTTTAAAAAGAAAAACTCAAACTCCTAAGAAAAAACTGTGGTCAAAGATAATTATTTAAACTGACAGGTTCAAATTTTAATTGGGAATGTTTGTTTGTTTTCAAATGTTTTAGTTTAACTCTCTTGTGTACATGTTTAAACCAAAGACAAATTACAGTTTAAAAACTGCATGACAAGTAATTTTGACCACTTTGATAGTAACAAAGAATGCTTAAACTGTTTAATATGCAATGCTAAGCAGGGGTCTAATGGAGAAAATAAACTAACTGATAATAATTAAAAACTATGAAAATGAACAAATGAAATTTAGGCATTGCTTTCCCCTTGATATTCTTGAGGTTTAATTGAACCCTGCAGAGATTTACGAGACCCTGTGCCAGATGAAGCAAAGTTGCCCCAGAGCATAACAGAGCCTCATCCATGTTTCACAGTAGAGGCTGTGTACTTTTCATGACATGCTCATTTTTGCATATGTGAACATACAGCTGATGTACTTTGAGAAAAAAAAAATTTAATTTGTCTAAGCTGTCCATAGGACTTTGTGGCTTGTCCACATGTAGATTGGAAAATTCCAGTCATGCTTTTTTATTATTTGTTTTCAACAATGGTGTCGTCCTTAAGGCCCATTCATACCTCACGTTTGGCCTGCACGTCCGTACGTTCTATCCGTTGACTCCTTCATACCTCCGTCCGTTGAGGTGCGCAATAACCCGTATTTCCTCTAGGTGGCAGTGCTGGGCGCTAATGATTCGTCATTGATCAAAACATGGCGATGGTCCAAGACCTGATTTTGTTGACATTTTGTACTAAAAACTCAATAGCGCCCCCACCGTTTCCGGTAGTATTGCTCCGTATTGATCCGTTTCGTCCGTAAGCGTAAGCTCCCAATTTTCGTGTCAAAGTACGGACGAAATCGACGGTTAGAACGTATGAAACACTCCACACGTATCCGTATCCGTCTTTTACGTGAGGTATGAATGGGCCTTTAGTCGTCTCCCATTAAGTCCATTTTGGCTAAAACAACAACAGATGATGACACTGATGTTCCTCAAGCTTTAAGATCGCCTTTAATCTGTTTAAAAAGTTTTCTGGGCTCTTTAGTTACTGTTTATATTATCCGTCTCTTTGATTTGCCATCAATTTCCCTCCTGTGGCCACATCCAGAGAGGTTTGGTCCAATCCCTTGGATCTTACATTTCTGAATTATATGTTAAACTGTAGTCACAGAAACATCAAGGTGCTTTGAGATTTACCTTGAACGTGCTTGTCTACAATTTTTGTCTATAATATCCTGAGG